ACTTCACCCAAAACTCTGTCTCCAAGGTTCAATTCAACACTAGTGCACAGAGGCCGAGCTTTTGGCATCAGTAGCAGCATATTCAATCCATGGGTCCTGGTAGGGTTAAGTACCACAGGGATCTTTGCAAGACCACGAAGTGCTATGATCTGTTCAACTGAAAATAACAAATGATGCCATTGTGTAAAGATAGTGCATTGCTTTATACTGGACTTGAATATGGATAAGGAGTAGCAGGCCCAAAGATTTAAGAGGAAATCATGGAAGAAATTAAAATTTTTTCAGTGTTAAATTCTATCCATCGAGGTAATATATTTTCCTGAAAATTGGGGAAAACTAGATATCAGTAGCAGAACGTCTTGACACAGCCACAGAAGAGTAGTGGTCATAAAGCAAGATTACAAGTGAGAGGACAGAACTCCTTGATGCCTCCCTTGTTCATGTGAGTGTGGCTGAAGTTTGGTGGTCAAAGCAGGGAATGAGGAACTGGCCAAGCCAGAGGAGCCCAGAGCAGTGGGCTGCTGCCCTCCAAGTCCCTGGGGTGGGGGAGGGGCATCTGGACCCAGAAGTCAGCCTCCTTCCATAGAAGGGATTCCTTGCTGTGCCATCATCTAGGTATTCTATTTCTTACTCTGCCTTTGGGCCCAAAAGCAGCAGGCTAATGTGCTTTCTGTATTTCCAAGACAGGGTAGCATAATGCAGCATTTCCCAAACTTTGATGAGAAAAACTTTGTTGGCAGCACACCTATTAATATCTCCAGAACAATGTTCCTCGTGACACACTGATCTAATGTAATGTGTATACATAGGTGAATAAACTCTGGCCAATGTTCAAGATAAGGGAAATAATCCTTGTATTATGCTTTCATCTTGCTTTCAATTTTAAACGTTGGTTTTTCTTTAAACAAGGCCTTCTGACTCACTGAAGCTCTTTGTGCAAGGAGGTATGTTTGCATTTCAAAGTCTCATGTTTCCTAAGAAAGCCAAGTTCTGAAAACACATTTTGCTGTGATAAAGACTTTTCTGAGATTATAAAGCTAAACAAAAAGTACAATGAATTTAAAAGTTCTTTCTTACCATGGATTTAGCAACAAGAGACCCCAAAATACTTGTTTATACAATCTTCTTTGCCTATGAATCCACTGGGCAACTACATAACCAACTGGTTAAAGAAACACATATAGTTGTACATATGTGGGTGGGTTCATGGGTAGTAACTGTAGGGTATGTGTTCTTCAGGAATATTAACTGTTGTCCTCCAGCTGGGTGACTTTGACAAACCACTCCCTATGTATATTTCAATCTTGCCACATCTGAAAAATGAAGGCGTTGGATTATAGTGTTTTTAATACTTCCCCAAAGATGAGAATCCCTAGAAGTAGTGGTTAAATATTGAGATTATTAAACCCTCTATTTGAACTTCTGATTAAATGGACCTAGGTTGTTTGTTTACTTTTTGTTTGCTTATATGCTTGTTTGTTCATTTGTTTTTAAACAAAGCCTCTAGGTCTTTATCTTCAAGGATTTTTGAAAACTTGATTAGATGACTCAGGGACTTTCCATTTCTGCTATTCTATAATTCTGTGACTCAGTGAGGTGGGAGATCCACTAGCCCCCTCAACAGAAGCTTACTGTAGTTAAGATGAGACCTTGGGGGATTTCCCTGGTGGCCCGGTGGTTAAGAATTTGTCTCCCAATGCAGGGGACGGCTTCCATCCCTGGTCAGTGAACTAGTTCCCACTTGCATGCCGCAACTAAGAGTTAGCATGCCACAACCAAGACCTGGGACAACCAAAAATAAATAATTAATTGATTAAATAAAATTTTTTTAAAAAATGAGACCTTGGGAAATTTCTCTTTCTTAGGTTCTCCCCCATGAAGAGTGACATCCAGATAGGTTTGTGTGAAATAGATATCTACCTCTCATAAGTCAAGGTGATGATAAGCCCTATGAGAACAACAAACCCTAGTTATGTGGTGGTTATTAAAACTGTGAACACTCTTCCCCTTAACTCTCCTGATGTGTTCTCTTAAATAAATGTCCCACTCAGGGTCCTAGTGTCTGTCCTCCTCCCCAAACCTCACGTTGATAACTTTCAACATCCAGAAATGGTTTGAGAACCGCATAACTCCATGACCTGTTGTCAAACCTCAAACTCCTAGAAACACCAAGTCTGATCACTTATTTTTCTTCTTTGGAAGCCAGTTGGTCCCCCTGAGACTGACCCAACCATTTTTGGGAGCTGGTTGGAAAAATGAAGTCTGGTTTTCCAACCAATCCTTTTAGTTAATCAGAAGACAGAACGCTAAAAGGTCCTGTGACTTTAGCTTCTCTAAAAGCTATTGTTTTCTACTTCACCCAAAACTCTGTCTCCAAGGTTCAATTCAACACTAGTGCACAGAGGCCGAGCTTTTGGCATCAGTAGCAGCATATTCAATCCATGGGTCCTGGTAGGGTTAAGTACCACAGGGATCTTTGCAAGACCACGAAGTGCTATGATCTGTTCAACTGAAAATAACAAATGATGCCATTGTGTAAAGATAGTGCATTGCTTTATACTGGACTTGAATATGGATAAGGAGTAGCAGGCCCAAAGATTTAAGAGGAAATCATGGAAGAAATTAAAATTTTTTCAGTGTTAAATTCTATCCATCGAGGTAATATATTTTCCTGAAAATTGGGGAAAACTAGATATCAGTAGCAGAACGTCTTGACACAGCCACAGAAGAGTAGTGGTCATAAAGCAAGATTACAAGTGAGAGGACAGAACTCCTTGATGCCTCCCTTGTTCATGTGAGTGTGGCTGAAGTTTGGTGGTCAAAGCAGGGAATGAGGAACTGGCCAAGCCAGAGGAGCCCAGAGCAGTGGGCTGCTGCCCTCCAAGTCCCTGGGGTGGGGGAGGGGCATCTGGACCCAGAAGTCAGCCTCCTTCCATAGAAGGGATTCCTTGCTGTGCCATCATCTAGGTATTCTATTTCTTACTCTGCCTTTGGGCCCAAAAGCAGCAGGCTAATGTGCTTTCTGTATTTCCAAGACAGGGTAGCATAATGCAGCATTTCCCAAACTTTGATGAGAAAAACTTTGTTGGCAGCACACCTATTAATATCTCCAGAACAATGTTCCTCGTGACACACTGATCTAATGTAATGTGTATACATAGGTGAATAAACTCTGGCCAATGTTCAAGATAAGGGAAATAATCCTTGTATTATGCTTTCATCTTGCTTTCAATTTTAAACGTTGGTTTTTCTTTAAACAAGGCCTTCTGACTCACTGAAGCTCTTTGTGCAAGGAGGTATGTTTGCATTTCAAAGTCTCATGTTTCCTAAGAAAGCCAAGTTCTGAAAACACATTTTGCTGTGATAAAGACTTTTCTGAGATTATAAAGCTAAACAAAAAGTACAATGAATTTAAAAGTTCTTTCTTACCATGGATTTAGCAACAAGAGACCCCAAAATACTTGTTTATACAATCTTCTTTGCCTATGAATCCACTGGGCAACTACATAACCAACTGGTTAAAGAAACACATATAGTTGTACATATGTGGGTGGGTTCATGGGTAGTAACTGTAGGGTATGTGTTCTTCAGGAATATTAACTGTTGTCCTCCAGCTGGGTGACTTTGACAAACCACTCCCTATGTATATTTCAATCTTGCCACATCTGAAAAATGAAGGCGTTGGATTATAGTGTTTTTAATACTTCCCCAAAGATGAGAATCCCTAGAAGTAGTGGTTAAATATTGAGATTATTAAACCCTCTATTTGAACTTCTGATTAAATGGACCTAGGTTGTTTGTTTACTTTTTGTTTGCTTATATGCTTGTTTGTTCATTTGTTTTTAAACAAAGCCTCTAGGTCTTTATCTTCAAGGATTTTTGAAAACTTGATTAGATGACTCAGGGACTTTCCATTTCTGCTATTCTATAATTCTGTGACTCAGTGAGGTGGGAGATCCACTAGCCCCCTCAACAGAAGCTTACTGTAGTTAAGATGAGACCTTGGGGGATTTCCCTGGTGGCCCGGTGGTTAAGAATTTGTCTCCCAATGCAGGGGACGGCTTCCATCCCTGGTCAGTGAACTAGTTCCCACTTGCATGCCGCAACTAAGAGTTAGCATGCCACAACCAAGACCTGGGACAACCAAAAATAAATAATTAATTGATTAAATAAAATTTTTTTAAAAAATGAGACCTTGGGAAATTTCTCTTTCTTAGGTTCTCCCCCATGAAGAGTGACATCCAGATAGGTTTGTGTGAAATAGATATCTACCTCTCATAAGTCAAGGTGATGATAAGCCCTATGAGAACAACAAACCCTAGTTATGTGGTGGTTATTAAAACTGTGAACACTCTTCCCCTTAACTCTCCTGATGTGTTCTCTTAAATAAATGTCCCACTCAGGGTCCTAGTGTCTGTCCTCCTCCCCAAACCTCACGTTGATAACTTTCAACATCCAGAAATGGTTTGAGAACCGCATAACTCCATGACCTGTTGTCAAACCTCAAACTCCTAGAAACACCAAGTCTGATCACTTATTTTTCTTCTTTGGAAGCCAGTTGGTCCCCCTGAGACTGACCCAACCATTTTTGGGAGCTGGTTGGAAAAATGAAGTCTGGTTTTCCAACCAATCCTTTTAGTTAATCAGAAGACAGAACGCTAAAAGGTCCTGTGACTTTAGCTTCTCTAAAAGAAAACCTATAGGACAGCACCCAAACACAATCATCTCAATTTTAATTTTTAAAACTGAAGTTACACCTTCCCCTGTCCAAATCAATGATTCATGCAGGGAGGAAAGCAGCATCGTGTTTTGCTGCTGAAAGACTGTAATCTCTTTCTCTGAACATCTTTAAGAACAGCGCTGGGCGGTGGCCCGAGCGCAGCCGGAGGAGGCGGAGGACGCCCGCCCTGCACCGCAGCTCGCATCTGCGGCCGCGCGATCCACCTCCCGCGCCGCTTCCCCCGCGTGCGTCCCTCTGGCCCCGGAGCCACACCTGACCGATGGCGGCGGCCCTCTCGGGCCTGGCGGTACGGCTGTCGCGCTCCGCCGCGACCGGCGGCTCGTCGTACGGCACCTTCTACAAGGGGCTCACACGCACGCTGATCACCTTTTTCGACCTGGCCTGGCCTGGAGGTCTGCGCATGAAATTCCCCTACTTCTACGTTGTGGCTTCGGTGATTCTCAAAGTGCGCCTGCAGGTACATATTTAGAGCAACTAACTTGTGGCACTCTGGGTGGGTGGGTGGGGGGGGCGGGCTGCCCAGCAGGATGGCTGAGCTCCACCCACCAGCTCGCCAGCCCTAGAGCAAAGCGACAGGCTCGCCTCGCGCACACAGACTTGCCTGCCGGTCTTGCCATTGCCCCATCTTTTTCATATAAATGGGCGGCTAGAAATCATTTGCTGAAAGCCTGCAATATAACCAAAAAAGCCTAAGATATAATTAAATGTTCAATCTCAAGGAAATAGCTAAATCAAAGAACAGAACTTAAAAATCTGAAAATCCTCAGAAATATATGAGAAGTTCTTGCATCCATAAAACAAAAAACAGCATCGAATGTAGGGACAAGGAAATAGCTAATTCAAAGAACAGAACCTAAAAATCTGAAAATCCTCAGAAATATTTGAGAAGTTCTTGCATCCACAAAACAGAAGACAGCACCGAAGGTAGGGAAATGACAGTAAGCACAGGATGCCCTAAGGGGGAAAAAAGGAAAAGTTACTAACAACTTAAAAAAAGATAAACTGTACAAGAATGGTCCAAATAGGAGACAAATCTTGCAAATTAGAAAAAGAAGAGAAGAGACTTCCAACTGAGTGGAATCGATTCTAGGCAACAGATGGATGGAGTTAGACGGAGGAAATTTACAACATGATCTGAAGGCAGACATTTCTTCATCCCAAAAGAAAAAACAACGGCAAACAGAACCTACTGGGAAAAACAAACATTTCAAACTGTACAAGGAGAGCATGCTTCACATATGAAGCAACCTCAGATGTGGCCTGTTTTTCAGCCGTTGCCTGGAGTGTGCGAAAGGGAATCTGAACACTGGCATGTGGATCAAGCCTCTGCAGTCACAGAAAATCCAATCATAGCGTTCAACTTTGCCATTCAGTGAACAGTGTTTAAATAATCATTGCAATGGAAATATTAGTTACGCATTTTCATTTTTAGAGTAAATCTCTAGGCAAAGCAGGGGAGACAGTTATAGAACAGAGTGGGAATGTTAACCAACTTTGACAAGTACAGGCAACAAGTTGGCAGGCAGAGAGGAAGAAATGGAATAGTGGTGTTATTCTCCTAAACAAGGGAGTCCAGATACTCTCTCTAGTTGAAAGAATAAGACAGATTTAGGGGTTAGATTTTTTAAGTGAACAAGGTAACCAACAAAAGAGTTAAAAATAGTGATACAACCAAATGGAGGAGGGAGGAAAACCAAGGGGATAGCAGGAAGTCAGCAGAAAATGCCTCATGTCATCAAGTTAAGAAATAGTAAGAAAAGCATATTATTAGGAAAAATGGAGTTAACCTCTAAACAGACTTGTAAAAGTTTTTGCCTCTGGGGTGGGAAAGCAAAAGTTGAGAAGGGTGGATGGGGATTTACTGCTTTTCATTATATGTCCTTTTGTACTGGTTGATTTTCCTAAATCTCTTATATGCATGTATTACTTTGATTAAAAGTTAAAACTTATTAAAAATGAATTTACTGCAATTAAAAAAAAAGACTGTTGATCAGAGTGAGAGAAAAGAATTGACACTAGGGAAAGGAAATATAGATATGAGACTGATGAGATTAAGTAAAAATCCTGAAATCCTGAATTTGAAATGCAAGTATCAGTATGAATTCATGATATATGTATATATATATATATATATATATATATATATATATATATATTTCTTTTTAATAAATTTATTTTTGGCTGAGTTGGATCTTTGTTGCTGCTTGGGGGCTTTCTCTAGTTGTAGCGAGCGGGGGCTACTCTTCGTTGCGGCGTGTGGGCTTCTCGTTGCGGTGACTTCTCTTGTTGTGGAGCACGGGCTCTAGGTGTGCGGGCTTCAGTAGTTGTGGCTCACGGGCTTAGTTGCTCCGCAGCATGTGGGATCTTCCTGGACCAGGGCTCGAACCCGTGTCCCCTGCATTGGCAGGCAGATCCTTAACCACTGTGCCACCAGGGAAGCCCAACTCATGATATATTTTAGCTTAAAAAAAAAAAAAAGTATTTTCTAGCGCTTTCCATGGAAAAGGCCTAGAAACAATAAACCAACCAAGTAGAATAAAGACATGTAGTACACAGAATGTGATCCTTAAATCCTGTTTTCCACCAAAAAGAGCCAGGGCTCCTTGGAGAAATGGATGATTCCAAATCTAGGGTAGAAAATTACACGGCAAGCTTGGATTGTGTTGCCATGCTAGAAAGCAAGGAAACTATTAAAGACCACTAAGGTTATGTCAGAAGGACTTGGGAGCTAGCTTAGAGGATCCCACTAGTCAAAGATGGGACAATTTGAACACTAATAAGAATAATCACTGTAATGCATGGAAACCATCAAACATATTAAAAATCCATGAATTTATTATGATGTGCTTAAGTCTTCATTAGTCAAAAAAAAAAAGTGCACTGGTCATATTTGGTGGACCCTAGGGAATCAACTCATTATTTTGAAAACTTGTAAATAAAGGAAAAGAATCAAGCACTTAGCCTCTTTGCTGTACAATCTGTGATTCAGCCAAGTAGTGGATTAGGAGAAGTTTCTCTTTATAGAGTATTTCAGCTAAATACATTGTAAAGGAATGATGTAATTTGACTATTGCCAACTTACACTTCTTAAAGTGTAAGAAAAGTGTAAACTTACACTTCTTAATGGATCTATATAATGATCATCAATAGTTGCTAATATCACAAACAAAGAAACAACCAGACTATGCATCTCCTGATGGAAATATACACCATCCAGGAAGTATTCTTGCCAACAAACTCAAATTGGAATCTGATTAAGTCTCTAGATCTAACCACAAATTTACAGGACATACAGGGGTCAGAGAAAGATGAAAGCAGGAAAATACAGACTATATGGAAAACTTTATAAGACACTGACCCAGTTTCCTCAATGAATAAATTGCAAAGAAAAGAAGAAAAAGGAAAGAGGGTGACTTTTAGGTTAAATAGACAAACATATCAACTGTTCAATGCATGGATTTCATTTGGATCCTGATTCTAACTAAAAATAATAAACAATTATGAGACAATCAGGAAATTTGAACACAGGCTAAATATATAATGATACTAAGGACTTACTTTTTTTAAGTGTAGAAATCATCCTGGTTGTTTTAAAAATAGTTCTTAGATTTTAAATACTCACACCTATTTATGGAAAAATGATATATACCTGACATTTGCTTCAATATAATCTGGCTTGTTGGGAGTAGAGAGTATAGAGGGAAATTAGATGGCTTATGAATTGATAGTTATTAAGCTGGATGATGGTTACGTGGGGTATCATTATGCCAGTCTCTCTACTGCTGTATACAATAAAATTTTTCCAAAATAAAAAAAAGGATTGATCATTCCCTCTCTTGGAAGGATTCACCTTGCACATTCTTTTTTTTTTTTTTTTTTTTTTCTGTT